GTCGAGAAATAGGTAAAATAGCCATGGTCAAGTATGTCCCAAAGCGACCCATATATCATTGCTAAGTGCCTTCTTTCTTGCTTTTAAGCAAGCACCCTTTATTAGTGGGTTCTTGTACCAAAACCCGAATCGCTTTCAAAAGTGGAAGAACCTCATCTCATCCGCCCGATAAATCTCGTAAGACTGAACAGGAATGGCGCCCGGAACTTCACGATACGAAGTCAGCTCCGAAAACGGAGACGCGTGGCCGATCTCCAGCCAATCCTCCTACAAGGCGATTCGATGGACCCGGTATGGCATCGTCTATCGGAGGCACAACTGCGCCATCAGGATTCAATCGCATCCCCACAGGGACGGCTCGATCCGCCGATTCGTTGGTTGATGATGCCGATTACAACCTAAGGGCACCAAGGCAACCGCCGCAGCCCAAAGGAAAAGGAAAGGGCGATAAAGGCAAAGACAAAGGGAAATCTGATAAAGGAAAAGGGAAGTCGAAGGGAGGCAAGAAAGGTCCCCCTGACCGTGGGAACGATAGGACCCGCAGTCCTGACGGACGACCATCCCGTTAAGGACGATACCTCAACGCGATACCTTAATGCAACGACGCATGATGTCACTGCTCGGTTGATCCGGTTGAATCCTTGAGTCAATGCTTGTCTCCAACAATTTTTAAGCAGCATTGATTCATCGATTCTGATGGTGATGCTATTGCTTTGATATCATTTCCGTTGTTTCCTCAGCCTTCCTTGCCTTCGCCTGCTGAGAAGACCCACTAGGGGTACAATGGATAGCCATGGTATTTTCCGCGTGTGTCTATCTCGTCTCACTGACGCACGATGCTGCCGAACCTCATGATCAACCTGATGTTCTGAGCGCATCCGATATATTACAACCCGCACGATCTGGGAAAGCCCGGCCGTCTTCGATAGGACGTGCCGCTGCAAACCTTGATCACCCGCAAAGGCTGCATGTACAGAGTGAAGCATAGGCGCGATCAAGCGACAGGGGCCGACCCATGCAAAATGGTCTATGGTGATTACGGAGTTCTGAAGTGTGACCTCAGCAGCGCATAGATGCCGAATGTGTTCTGAAGACTTCTCTTGCTCGAGTTTCAGGGCGGCTGCTAGTAGATGGACTTGTCATTGCTGGGAGCAGTTCTGTTGACTGGGATTTCGTGGGGCGCTCATCTCTGGGGGAAGAAGGAAGAACCAGCTGCTATCATTCCGCCGTGCGCCTGCCATTGTGAGTGCATTGCGGATAAGAGCGAGGCTTACAGTATCAAGGTCTGGCTCCTGGTGCTTGCTTTGCTTCTTAGCTGGGCCATCTTCGGTGCTTACTGGATTTGGGTCTCTACGCTTCGTCCTGCGGAAATTTCAGTTCCGAAGGGTAAAGGCAAGAAAGGAGTGCTCGGCAGCGAACTTGCGTTGACATTGAAATGATCGCGGAAGGCGACATCTGTTTCGTCAATTACGGAGAAGTCCCACCTTGCATTCATGCCAGACTTGTTGGAGCACATGTTCGTGCGGATACCTGGGTTATCATAACGCCAGACTTTGACATTTACGAGGAGCAGTTGTCCAACATGAACCCAGATTACACAGCTTTCCATCATGGTGGCCCCGGGTTAGGTGCAGCGGTACCAGCTGGACTTAATCCCGCCCATGTGTACTCCTTTGCTGCTATGAGTTCCATAGATTATCAGCGGTTGATGAACCAGGCCAGGCTTTATGCTGCAGGACTCAGGGTTGGAATGGGATTGCCTCCTGCGGGGGCTCCTGCTCCGGCGGCGCCTGCCGCTGCTCCGCCTGTGGCTGTGGCTGTTGCTGCTGATCCTTTAGTCTGGGTTGCGCTTGAGAACCGCGGCGGTGTTCGAGAAGGAACGGTTGTGATTCCTCAAGGGCAGGGTCTCCCTGCTGGGGCCGTGCAGCTAGGCGACAGGGCCATCATTGATCATGGTGGTGGGGTCCAGGTTGCCATCAAGCAGGTAGCCCTTTCCCAGGTTGGCGCCATGGAAGTTCGAGATCTCCGGGTTTTGCCGATTCGGTACGATGCTCAGGGTCAACGCCGGGCAGAGTTTGGGGATGTTGTTAGCCAGATGTCTCAGGACGACATGCCCGGGGGGAAGTTGCAATTGGATGGACCTCCTTCGGCCCTAGAGGTGATGAGATCTATGGTGCTAAGGGGGTTGACGCCAGTGACTGATCATGAGCATTGGGTGCGCACACATGACTTGGCAAAAGGGGACCGTTCGGTCTACGAGATGGAGGTGATCACCCGAGTGATGGAGGCTTTTGTCACGGTGGACCAAATCAATGTCCCTAACCTTAAGGGCTGCGAGTTGTTGATTCGCCGGTGGCAGTTGATTCGAGAAGCTCACCGGATTTCACCGACGGCCCCAGACTACTCGGCCACGGACGTCATTATGGGATGGGCCTACCGAAAGGGCGATGGTGTGGAACCTTCGCTTGCAAAGTATGTGGCCGGTGAGTTGCGGGATCAGGCTTCGATTGCCAAGGAGGCCAGGAAGGCGCGTGAAGAGCTTGAGAGTCGAAGAAAGGCAGGCCGCCAAAACCCCAAAGATCAGGGGGGAGGCGGCGGAGGCGGAAAGTGATCGTCTTCCCCGGGGGTCGCACGTTTTTGACCAGCTTGTGAACTATGACTCCTTGCTCCGAGGAAGGCCGATGGCGTGATCTTCTTCCTCTTCCTTTGCTCAAGCCGGAGTCTGTTCGCGCAGAGGTTGGGGAGTTTTTGAAGGAGTCCGCTTGTATTAGGAGACACCGGGCGAGGCGAGAAGCCAATGTGGCGAGAACCAACGGGCTGGCTTCCGCAAACCTTCTGCTATGGAGCCTACCCCTAATCAGGCACGTTCGCAAGCTAATCTTCTTTGTAGAGTTGCTCGACTGCCACGTTCCCGGGAGAGAGTGTTTCAGCGTGAGGCCATCAGTGAGCTTCTGCTTGAGAGCCCGGCTTCGCCTTATGTTTCGGGTGAAGGCGGGGCAGGAAGTGTCAGAGCATATCAGAGGGACCTTGTTTCTCTTCCAGAGGCTGGGGCTGCACCCTTGGACGCCACAGAACTTTTGGATCCGCAAGGTCGAGAAATCTTGAATAGGTTTGAGAGCTCAATGTTCGTGGACGAAGATGGGATTCCAGTGAAAACAATCACCCCCTACATGGATGAAATGTTGAAGTCGTCTCCGAAGGCCTATGCCGAGTTCATCGTCGACATCTTCGCGCGAGGCATGATTGACTTCGCGAAGACAGCTACATCAACTATAACTCCCTTCTTTGTGAACAAAAAGAGTGGTAAATTGCGGCTTGTGCTAGACTGCAGAGCAAGCAACATGTACTTTGCCAAGCCCCCTGACATTGCTTTAGCTGCGGGATACACGTTTGCGCAATTGGAAATTCCTGATGGTGAACAGCTTTACGTTGCTCAAAGTGATGTTCGGGACTACTTTTATTCCATTGGGCTCCTGCCAGGACTCCGCGGCTACTTTGCGCTGCCGCCGATTGCGGTGCACATGCTACCTCCAGGCCTAGTTGATCCATCTGACGTTGAGGGTGGCATGACACGTCCTAGGATGAAAGTGGTCCCAATGGGTTGGAGTTGGGCCATGTGGATTGCCCAACGAATTCATCAGCATCAAGCTGCTCTTGCAGTGGCTTGCAGTCCCGATCAGGTTTTGGTGGATGGGAGGCCTCCGCCTGATCTCCAGGCGGGGAGTCCCGTGATGATCCCCTACGCCGATAACTTGAACGTGTGCGGCACATGCAAAGATTCAGTCCAGAGGGCGAAAGACAAGGTCGTGCAAAGATTGAGGGATGTGGGGTTTAGAGTTCACGAAGAAGAAGATGCGGCACTCCATGCACAGGCTCTCGGCTTCATCATTGACGGTGAGCGGGGGCAGGTGCATCCTATTCCGGCTAGGCGTGATCGTGTTCGTCTATGTTTGTTATGGCTAGCCAACCGACCGAAGGTGTCTGGTAGAGCCATTGAACGAATTATTGGGCATTGTGTTCACCTTTTCATGCTACGCCGGGATTTGCTGGCTATCTTTCGCTCGGTGTATGATTTCAAAACTGCTTGCTACAACAAACCGTGTAAACTTTGGAAGTCAGCAGCGGAAGAGTGCCGTATTGCAGCAGCTTTGATCCTCACTTGCTATGCCGATCTTCGCAAGCCGTGGTCAAGCGACATTACAGTCAGTGATGCTTGTCTTTCTCGCACAGCAGTTGCCGCCCTTGAGGTTGACAGTCATGTTGTGCAAACCGTTGGACGTTGCAGAGAGATGTGGCGATTCAAGTCAAAAGATCCATTGTCACGAGCGCGGGATGCGGCTCTGAGTTTGGACCCTTTTGTGCATCATGAGACTGTCATGCCAATGTCACATGAGGAGCGGGATCCCTTCCAGCTCAACCTTGAATTTCAACATGTGCCGCATGAGATTGCATGTAGCCCAGAGTGGAAAGTTCAGTTTGCCTCGAGAATGACAAAGCCTGAGCACATCACGCTTTTGGAAGGGCGGGGAACTGTTCAAGCCATTCGTCACAAGATGCGCGTTGAGGGCAACTTTGGCAAGAAACATTTGCACCTTGGTGACAACTTAGGTATGGTTCTTGCTTTTGACAGAGGTAGAGCGAAGTCAGTACCACTACTTTTGTATTGTCGGCGAGCCACTGCTTTTGCCATTGCGGGTGACGCTGTGTTCACTCATCGATGGCTTCCCTCTGAGCACAACGCGGCTGATGCCGCATCCCGCCAGTGGGAGGGCCAAAGGGCGGAGGAAACCGTCTGCAAAAGCAAAGCCCAAGAAGTCACCAACGCGATCTGCTACCCCAAAAGCGGCAGCTCGATCAACCAGAACACGTGCAAAGAGTTCCTCAGGAGGAGTGCTGGCGAATCTGAAGAGTGCAGTACCGCCGCGCTCCCTGGCTGCAGCTCCTACGAAGCGCAACTTGCGCAAAGCAGTTCAGGCTCCCGACGAGGCATCGCGAGCAGCGAAGCGTCAGGCTGTTGTGGCGCGGGGGAACTCGCGGAAGAGGAGCGCCGACCACACGTTTCTCGAGACAGCAGCGGTGGCGCCTCGGACCAGCGAGGAGTACCTGCACAAGTGGAACCTCTTCGAGTCGTTTTGCAGAACACAGAAGCTGAAGCTGCGAAGCGCGGACGATGTGGATTTCGCATTGACGATCTTTCTCAACCAAGCTTTTTGGGAAGGCTGGGACGTGAGCGAAGGTGTCAAAACCATAGCAGCTGTCACAGACCGTCGGCCTGCGCTGGCGGGCAGACAAGGGCTTCCGCGGGCGAGACGTTCGCTGCAAGGATGGCGAAGCCTGGACCCGGGAGTCACACGTCCCCCGTTGGCCTGGCCATTCATCGCGCTCATCGCCTTGACTGCAGTGATGAACAATCAGCTGGTCGAGGCGATTGCCTTCCTCTTCATGTTCGTCACGTACGTGCGACCGGGGGAGGTGTTCGAGTTGCGACGACAAGACCTTGTGAAAAGCGAGGTGCTGGGACAGCAGTGGTCTGTGAATCTGCATCCCTCCGAGGACCTGCAGGAATCAAAGGTGGAGGTCAGCAACGAGACTCTGCTTTTGGACAACAAAGAAATCCCCTGGCTTGGTCAGGTGCTCGAATGCGTCACGGCCATCTCTTCAGGACCGCTTTTCCCAACCAGCTACACGGAAGTGCAACAGGCTTGGGCGCAGTCTCTGCGGGAACTCAAGCTGGGAGACAAGTTCGCAGTCCTGTACCAGCTGCGTCACTCTGGCGCAAGCTGGGATCGCTTCAGGCAGTACCGCAGCCTGTTGGAGGTCAAGCTCCGAGGCAGATGGGCATCAGACAACAGCCTGAAGAGGTACGAGCAGCATGCCTTGGTAGCACAACAGTTCGACAGACTGAGCCCTCAACTGCAGCGAAGAGCCCGCGCAGCACCTGCTGCCCTCAAAGCGGTGGTCCTCTCAAAATGCGGCCTGAGATAACCAAAGTTCGAAAGCCGTTTCTTGAAGTTTTCTCAGGCTGTGCGCGGCTTTCGCGGGCCTGTGCAGAAAAAGGCATCCCAGCCGAAGCGTTCTCTACGGCCCATCTTGCAATATGCTTGACCCTTCAGCCTCGGCCTCTTTGCTTGAACGCGTGAGAAAGGGAGAGTTTTCTGCTGTTCACCTTGGGTTGCCTTGCACGTCGTGGAGCTTAGCGAGAAGATCTGATGGTCGTGGGCCGATGCCCTTGAGAAGTGATGAGTCCATCATGGGACTTCCGAGCCTAAAGGCCTCCGACAAACAAAAAGTTGCTGAGAGTAACCAACTTCTTGAGTTTGCTTTGCAGGTCATCGAGATATGCCAACAGCTGCGAGTGCCATGGACGCTTGAAAACCCTCAATCCAGTCGTCTGTGGTTGGTCCCGGCCATCCGGCAGCTGCTGCAACATGGTGCCAGAAAAGTCGAGGCCTCCTTTTGCGCTTATGGCATGCCGTGGAGAAAGGCCAGGCAATTTCTCTTCACTGCATTTCCTGACTTGCAGTGGCAGCTTTCGCCGATGCTCGCGCACTGGTGCCTCCCACCTTCCGTTGGTCGGCAAAAGTTCCACCGGGATTTGGCTTACTGGCCTCGCGCAGCCCTACCCGGAACAACTGTGTGAGCATTTTGCGCTTCAGCTGCTGTACTTTCTTAAGCATACTCCAAGGTCGGATATGGGAGGAGGAAAGTTGTGAGAATGTGCATGCCCTCGTGATCATTCACTTCGTTGTTTGCTCTCCAGAGGGCAGCATGATGATCCTTCAAGTGTTTGCTGCGAGCTTCGCCTACTGAGCCCGAGCTTTCACCCCTGTACCGCTGGCCTCCGGCTCGCTTCTCAGACACGACAGCCGAAACTCGGCTCCAAAAAGAATGCTGGCATCGGAAAGCGCGGCACCTCAGTCACATATTCTTGCTTTAAGCGTATCTGGCTTGAGGTGTCATGGTGCGGTGTACAATCAGACTCGGCAGCACTCCTACAACTCCGCTTCCCTCACGCGTGAGCTCGCGTCAAGGGGGGTGTGATTCGCTACCGATTCGCCTACATGTACACTTGTTCGCTTGTTAGGGTTCACGCCAACTTTGTTTCACTGCAGCTTGACTGCTCAAGAAGCACTTTGAGTGACGTCCAGGAAAAGGCCCGCTGGCGCGAGGGAGCGTAGGTGTTTCCTTTTGCCCTGTGCAGTTAACCTAACGGTTTTAAGCTCTGATCGATACTCCTGCATAGCCGCTTGCCTTGCTGCTTTGCCTTTGCTGTGCTTTGGAGGTCAGCCGATAAGCGCCCTGCTTCGTGACCCGGTGTTAAGTGGAATCCTCCGCTTTTCTCACATTGTCTTGCTAGGTAGAGGCGCTCAACCCTAACCCAACCAGGCTTCCCGAATGCAGAGCAGAAAAAGGGTGTTGGGACATAAGCTGGATTCGCAGCGTTCAGGGCGCAAAGCGTTTCCGAAGCATGTGCCAGTGTCGCAGACCCGCCATTTCCGTGTTTCAAAGTGCAGAATTGCTATCGCTTCGGGTCCCAACAATTTCCTCGAGTCTCAAGAGAGCGAGTGGTTGCAGGCAGTGTGCGGTCGTCCTGTTTCGATCCTGCAGTCTTTCTTGCATGTCCAGGTTTGCCTTTGCGCAGTCGGAGGGCTTTGGGGCAGTGCTGAAAGAGGCCCAGCAGCGAGTTTCCGGGGCCGTGGCGGCCGTGTCCGTGAACGAAACGGTGCAGCAGCCCCTTGGAAGGATCATGCGGGAGTCGCCGCAAAACTGTGGGTCCTTGTTTTCGGAGGGTCGTGGCACGGGGGCCAATGCGTTTTACTCTTGGAAGCGACGCCAACGGCTCGGGCTGAGGAGAACATTGGGACCCCTTCTTTTTCTGAAGGGTCGTCATCGACAGCAGGACGAGAGTCTGAATAGTGTTTGTCATGATGAGATCCAAGGAATTTGCACTGCCACAGACCCTCCCTCCTCATGTCCCCCGTAGCCGCTGCAGAAATCTTCGGAAAGAAGGAAGCACTGGGTGTGTGTGTGGATGTTTTTTGGTTTAAAGGCCAGGTACGGCTATGGCACGGTCGAGTGCATTGATGGAAGGGCTTTGGAGCACTCAACACCAGGCTCAAAACAAAAATATGCGTGGCCGTAAGCAGGTGTGTCACTTACCAAGCGTTTGTTTGCATAGTTTAGTCTCAACGCCCTAAGAAATACCTTCTGCATCACTGCCATCCCCAACTTCGAGGCTTTGGACCAAGTGGAAGATCTCGAACTGTGCCCTGCTTCAGACCGGGGCCTACAGCACTTCCGACTGGGGCGGACGCTATGGCTACGGGAAGAGATATTATGGCTACCACCCCTCCCCCCCACCACCATCACCCGAGCCAGAATGGGCCGAAAGGCTCGAGGCGCAGCATGGAAAGCTAATGGAGAACCAGGTCGTCTTCCACAACGAGTCCACGGGGAATGAGGAGAACATCAAAGAGGGCGTGGATAATCTACAGGTTGCACTGGTCATTCCGGATCAAGACCCATTGCCGACGCCTCCTCCCGGAGATTGTGATCCGGGCGTGAACTTAAGCGGACCTGCACCTTGGACATCAAGGGACCCTGATTTGGGCAGATAACCATATCGAGGTTTCTCAAATTTGGAGTTTTCAGAAGCAGCCCTGGTGCTGTGCAGCTTCCTTACTTCACATGTCCGAGTTTACCCGGCTGGAAAGTCCAAGAACTCACATGATGCGACCCCAAAAGACCCCAGTACTGAAGCAGAATTGGCTCGAAGACAAAGAAATGAGCATGCATAGCAGGGTGCGCTGGTTGGCTTTAGGTTTCGCGGGGTTTATGTATGTCCAGAGTCCGTGTTCCCGTGTCTCCTGCTATACTATGTGTCCGGGACGTCCCTCATTTCACACCCAGCGTTTCCATCCTCTGAGTGGGTTCAGAATTTTGATTTCAATAGGCTCTGTCGTCTCCTCGGTACATAAGGTTCTGAGTCTTGGTTAAGAAGTTGTCAGAATTTGCATGTAGTGGCCATCAGACCAAGGCTGTAACTTATGCGCTTGTCAATCCAAGATGGATACAAGAGTATACCCCCACGCAGATCCATGCAGTACACACGGCTGATCATACAGGCGTTAAATGTACTGAGCTTTTCTGGCTCCCTCTGAACCCAAAGCGTATTTCAACTCCTCCTGCGTGCAATGCCCATGCACCCCATGTCCTTGCCACCCACATTTCTTCAAAACCCGGCACCTTGTAGAGGCTACGGCAGTTCATCCCATTTCCTGACATGTTAGTTTTCCTGCGGTGGCTCCCACCATTTCCTCGTCACACTTCGAATTCCTCTACACCCGAGCCTTCAACTGCGGCCAATCCCCAAAGATCCTCGTGGACCGGCCCCGTTTCCTTGCATGCTAATTTCCCGGCATTTGAGTCGCAATTTCCAAGCCCTACCACTACTTAAAGCAATAAGTAGGTCCATTTCCCAAAAAACGGCTGGAGCCTGAGGTAGTCCACGACACTTCTGTTGCAGGATTTCTGCGCATAGTTTGTGATTTACCTTGCACAACTGCGACTAGCTGAGATGTGATATGATTGAAATCTCCTCACAAAACCTCCGCCCCACCCCCCACACCCGTTCTTCTTTCGGCCGAAACTTTCGGCGGCGAGTGGGTCCCAGTTCTCTACACATATGCAGGCTAGAGCCTTCTGAACACATTCCTTGAGGCGCCCCCCGTACCCGACCCCCTGTTTTTGCGATGGCGATGGCGAGGGGGTGACATCGGCTAATCCCATTTCCTCACATGCCAAAAACCTTGCAGTCTATTCGCAATTGCGGAAAACCGACCGTTCCCTGAAAAGCCGATAAGTTCGCACATTATCACGTAGTGCTACCGACAATTCTTGGAAGGAAAACGAAGTTAGCATGCGTGTCATGCTTGCATGTCATGCTTGACCTTAGGCTCAGTGCGGGCTTAATTGAGTCAAGGGTCCGTGTGTTACCCTTGTGCCTTGCGAGTTGACTCCACGGACCTATTCTGGGTGTAGGGTTTAGTTGGCCCTTGCTTGAATGTGTCTGCTATGCAATACGAAGAACCAGATGGTAGGCTTTCAGGAACACAGGTCCTGTTTGGTTCTGGGATTCGGAGCTTGCGTTGTGAGGTGTGCTACGAATCGCAGACGCCCTGCCAGCTCACCATCAGCAACGACCCGGCCCCTGCGGTTCGTTTAAAGCCATTTTCTTTCTTTGCGAAAAGGGTGCACGGGCTCAATGAGCCCAAATGCCGTTCAGCTGCGTAGGTGCCGAGATCGCAGTCCCAAAGAGTACATACATACACATTCACATACATATACATATACATATACATATACATATACATATACATATACATACATATATATATATATGTGTGTGTGTGTATATGTATAAATTTGTAATATGTCTATATGTACATATATATATTTATATATATATATGTACCCCGAAGTAAAAAGGACCTCTATAATTCATCGCGAGGATGTAAGTTTTGACCTACTGGGCCATTCATCTACTAAAACTCTTGCGGAGTAGCCAAGACGGCGAATTACGTGGCGCGGCCAACGAATATATAGTTTATACCCCATGTGAACTTGTTCAAGTTTAAGGTTGCGGAGAAGTACCTGGGTGTCCCTGTTTACTAATGCTCTTCGCGATAGAGAGGGTCTCTACTCTTTGAATGAGCGAGTAGGTCACACTTTCCTCCTGCCGCAGCACAAATTCTGCGCACCACCATCTTGCACAGGTGAACAAGAGAGGCACCAGCTGGCAAGACTGGCAGATGCCCTTAACCTCATGCTGCCCAATCGTAGCATGTCCGAGTGGCAAAAAAGCGCCACTCGCAGCCGTCGCATCGTGCGCTTGCAGATCATGTCTCAATGAGAAGGCGCGTGTTACCTTTCTGAACAACGCGAAAAGAGGATTTGATGAGAAAAAGGTGACGGCTCAAACGCACCACGAAAATTTGGTGAGAAAGGTCACGATGAGGCATCGGGAGGATGAAAGTTTTGACGTACTGGGCCCTTCATCTTTTTGCAAACGTCGACTTATGTGGCCTGGCCAGCGGAGTATTCCATACGTGTACGGGAACTACACGACTGTAGTGTAGCGGAGGAGTGCCTGGCCGTGCTTGTTTGCTAGGTTTCTGCAAGGAAAAGGAGTTTCTCTTCTATGAGGGAGCGAGTATCTCGAAGGACCACTAGTCCTAAGCAACCAAGAACTGTACAAGGGACTGTTGCAGAAACCTTACGAATCTAAGCCTTAGTATTCTTGCTTCAAGGGGAACATGCGCAACTCAGGCCCGTGCCGCTGCCCAGGGCGAAATAATCCCTGGTTGTCTGCTCATGAAGAACCGGAGCCAGGCACTGCTCGCGCTGTGAACGTAGCCTTTCTGTGCTCGTATTAAGGATTCTTCCTTCCTGTCGCAGGTTCATTCGCTTTCCTTCATCGCACCAATGCAAGACTGCCCTGCTGCAAGTTTTTACCCGGCATCAGGAGCTCTTCCAGTTTTGCAACGACGCAATCGAAGACAGGGAAGTCATCGTGGCGGCCTGCAGTGCAAACCTGAGCTTCCAGGCTCTGAACGGAATGCCGGGCTGCTGGCGGCTACTTTAGTGTACAAGGGTCCTTCCTTGGGGGAGTAAGGCTTTCGGCATAGTTTCTTAATGCGACGTATGCTTAATTTCAGCCTCCCTCCGAAAGCCCGAAAATGGGATTTTCAGGAATCCTGCAAAAATCTAGGTACTCGGTGGTTCTGGCATCCATCCAATTGTTCCTTTTGCTCTCCGGGACCCCCGATCAGAACCGCAGAAAAGATGGCACCCTCAAGAGAAGTGTGAAGCAGTGAATTTACGGAACCCTTTATAACATTTCCTGGTAAGGAGGCTATGGTTGACTCCCGTACTACTTTGGTTGAGGCTTCCAATCTGTTCCTGTATTTTCTTGTTGCAGAACCGCATTGAACATGTCGAAAAGCACCTTGTGTCCCCAAGCATGGCCTTAGTGGTGGCATGGCCAAAAGCTCAACAGCAGGGGCCACGTTTGACAACAAGGGCGCCTCGAATATGCAGCCTAAGCAATAGGCTATGAGAATGAGCCGCCTCATTTACAGAACATGGCAAGGCATGAGGGCATGATGAGTTCAGGAAATGTTCAGAAGAATCGGAAGGCTAAAGGCATTTATGATCGCAGGGTGCGATGAAGACGGAATCTGCCAGGTGGCCCTTGCGGCGTTTCTGTCCGTCAACGACACTTGCCAGTTACAAGGCTGGACCTCACAGTAAACCCATCATCTGCACAAGCAAACGGGCTCTGGGACGTGACTCATTCATTTAACTAGGCTGTTGTGTTGCATGTGCTTTCTTGAAGGGATGTCTTTCTCCTAACGTTCAGTGTGGAGATGTTCAAACACTTATTCTCCTCGCCCTCGCTTGCCTGTCTTCCGGCACTGTCCCCAGCCGCACGGCTGGCGAGTATCTGTGGAGTGCCCACCGCAGAGTATCCCTCAGAGTATCCCCAAGGTGCCTGTCGAAGACCATAGACCCTGCCATACTTCACGTTTGGCCCAAGGTGCGGGTGATCCGCGTATAGCGAACTGTCGTACTGCCATGGATCTTTGTGAGGTCTTGTGAAGTGAGACCAACATCATGTCTTGTTGCATTTGCAGTGAACGATACGAATCCAGGTCGGGCAACTGGTCACCTGGTGGACTGAGTCGTTCATGTTCTGTGCGACAAAAGTGGGATTGGGTGCTTGAGCTGCGTCCCACATTACGGTTACTGTATCTGCAACTTCAGTCACCAGTCTACAACAGGTTCTCAGCCGTAAGCATTGCCGACGAGTGCACAAGATGTATCCCATGGATGCACATGCTAGCAAGACGTCATCTAACATGAAGAACCCGAATTTGGGTGGTGATTTGTGTGATTGTGAACGCACGATCCGGGCCGCTATTCCTGCGGAACGGAGGTGATCGCGAGCGGCATTGACGTGCACGGCACGGTCGAACAACGACTTTAAAGGACCGTAGAACGCCGGCTCACCGTTGAGGAGGCATAACAAACACTCTCCTGCAAGTGAGACAGTGAAAGGCTTGGGATGGCCGTTGCATGTTTCGACAGGGTATCGAGGTCAGCGTGACAACCGGGTTTGTACTACAGATGTCAAGTGATGACGAAACGGTTGCAAAGCGTGCTTCCCGACTCGATTGCCATGCTTCGCGACTTGGTCTGGTGATGAGTCATCAAGACCGCGACAAGGATCGTCGATGCGTCTGACATGCTCTGCAAGCATCTGGCTGGGCTTTATCGGAATTAGAATCATCAGGAAGAAGGTGCCATCACGTGCATGGACGAGCTGGAAGGCTTCTGGTCCTACTTTGACGGGCACATGGTTCATGTCGTCAAACGGCATCGAAAGCACAGAAACAGAAGCTATTGAGGGTCAGGGATGATGGATACGAGGAAGCAGCAATCGCATGATTACCGGGGCACAGATTCGAGTTCTCGAGAGCATCGCAATGGATTTGATTTGAATTCCCAACGAAATTTCTGCTTTCAACCAATCTATACAGTTCTTCGACGAGAATCAGGCACATTCCGAGACGATGAGCCATGAGATATACCGCCCTTCAAGCCCTCACCCGTGCCGAACATTGCGTCAGCGAGACGCACAATGCCGCCATGCACGTGGAGATTGGGTTCGCACACGTTCAGCCTCGGCCCCACAATGAAGTCAGATCATTCGGTTAAGATTGTGATCCGCTGAACATTGCCTTGATCGACTGGAACGAACAATGTCAGGTCATTGGACGACGACGATAACATGAAGGGATGCGGCAAGCTGAATTCGACTTCGACAAAGCTCATCAAGAGGCAAGTGTCGAAAAACTTCGGTCACTTGGACATGGCTAATCCAGGCTAGTCCTTTGATAAGTATCAAAGGGTTCTGGCCGAGACGGATTACCAGGGAGCTTCATGGTTGGCCAACAAGACACGACGCAGGAAGAGGAGATGTCTTGTGGTTGAGAGTAGTGTGTGTTAAGAATGAGCAGCAACAACCTCTTCATCACGTGGCACATGGATGTGTTGAAAACCAACAGGAGTGTCAAGAGACGCCCGGAACACTTTGACACCAAGGCAGTACGTAGTGTGGGAATAGACATGTGGAAAGTGAAGCAGACAACTCTAACTACCCGAGTAGTGCCGAGGAAGAACGTCCCAGGACTTTCTTTAACGAGGTACTCGTGATGTCAGGACAGCAGATCACGACGCACAAGACCGCAGACAGAGCCACTTGATCTTCAAGGTGGAGATTCAAGAACGAAGCCAGGCACAGCAATTATTAGGACAACATATTTGCATCGTAAAGCGAGAGAGCAGCACCACGAAGCACACGGACCGCACGTCACACCGGAACGGGGCGAAGCGCAGCCAAATCAAGAGGTACGGCCCATGTCAGCTGAAGCAGCTAGTGATCCACCATCATCCAGCCAGTTTTCACACTGCCGCGTTCAACATATCACATGTGTTTGAGCACAATGATGAGCCGAGGACATCGACTGGGAAGACATCCATTCGGATATACGAGATGCAGACGAAGAACAGGAAATAGTTTTCACCAGTGAAAAATCAGGACCACCAGAGCTTGTCAAAAGAGGAGGTCATCGACGGATCGCACACACCCATGCGCAGAGAGATTGAAAGACTCACGAAGATGAGGGCCCTCGAAAGAACTTCTTTCAGAGAAATGCGGCTTTGGGGAGGGACAGTGAGGGACAAGAGGACGGGCCAAGGAACAGGAACAGGACACGAGAGAGAGAGAGAGAGAGAGAGAGAGAGAGACACGCCAGGCCACAGAGCCCACTGTCCTGCAATGGCGCAGACAACAACATGCAGAGCCCGGGCTGGCATTCACCCCCATCGGCCCGTGGACAGGATACCAGCGGATCAACCCAGCTCCACTGTCATCCCAGCGTTCTGGCTATTGCAAATCCAAAGCACCACGGCCCCGGACCCGTCGACCCCATCAGGACAATACTTCACCTTCCAAAAAAAAGCCAGCTTCGTACTAGCTTGGAGGTGGCAGATGAGGCCCCGAGAAGCCGGGGATATCGAAAGGTTGGGGGGACACAGTACGTAACCAAGCCGCAGGGAACGGCGGCTGCACCCCAACACCCCCACACCAGACGCCGGACACATCCGGCAACACCGCAGACAGCACGGCTCGCCTGCCCCAACCCGCCGCCGCCGTCGACTCAGCAAAAGCAGCCAAAAAACAGTCAAGGCACCACCAGCACAGCCACCTCAAGGAGGCCACACGACGCAAACTCAGGCGGCGCATCAGGCTGCTCAGCCGACACAACCACCGCCACCGCCACAACAACCACAACAGCCACCACCACGTACGCAACAACCACGATCGCAGCAACCCCAACCCCAGCTCCAAGGCAGCGGGGAACAGCAACACGCCCCAAGGCAGCCACCCGCCTCCCATACAGCGGTGCAGCCCATTGCCAAATCGGCTCACCCCAAGCCAGCAGCCGGTGGCCAGCACAGACCACCAGACGAGAGCAGCCCAACAACAAGCACAGCAGCCGGCCCGCAACAGGTGGACCAGGAACGAGCCAACCCAGCAAAGGCCTCAGCAACCACAGCCGCAGCAACAGCGAAGACCATCGGGGACGACGGCGAGCACCACCCCGCCAAACGTGCGCCCCCCGCCAGTTCCCATGTCCGAGTCGGAGCGCGAGTGGCCAAGTTCAGATGAACACGACCAGCCGGCACTGGTACAACATCCACTACCACCCCAAGGGCCAGGCTCATCAGGGGACCCGGCCCCCAGCACCCCCACGCGCCCAGCAGGAGACCGCTCCAAGAAGGAGCAACTTGCAAAACTTTGCCGGGTGTGAGCTTCAGCCAGCTGGAAGAGCTCGCCACCTTTTTGTACCAGGCCTCAACGGTACTCCAGCAAACCATAGACTCCTTGTTGGAACAAGACACGAGAAAAAGCCCCCACCGCCCATCACCCAGGCCACCAAGCCCTGCCTCCAGAAGTGAGCCAAACCAACTACCTGTAACTAGCTATGGCATCTGCGGGGGCAGCAATCCTGGCCCAAGACTCCCTGTCAGGGCGGCGGATCAGGTTTCAAGAATTGGAAACGATCACAGAGCAGATCGGACGGGGGATACAAAGGCTGTTCAGATGGCTGGCGGCGAGCGAACTTCCAGCTGCGCGAGACGGTCTGGCTTGCTTGGACCACGTGGCGGCCTTGTGGGACTACTTGGAGACGGACCAAGCCCGCGGGGACCTGCACCCCGGCCGGGCCACCGGGGATCGCATTTCTGCCGTCGCCGAAATCCTGGACACGGCAGCCGACTTCCTGGCTGCGCTCGACAACGGGGCCGAACCAGAGAGAGGGGGGGGTGAGCCCCAAACGGGTAACAGCTACCTTTCAAGTGCACTGCGCGCAAATGGGTTGTGCGCATTCGTGCTGCTGACTAAAGTGAGGTTTAGGTGAAACTCGTTTAGTACAATTCTTGCGCACGTAAGGTTCACCTGTGTCTCACCTTTGCATTTAGGCTCACGGTAGCTAGTTGTTTAGGTAGCCCACCGAAACGGGGGGGGGGATCAGCCCCAAACGGGCCAAAGCTACCTTTCAAGTGACTGCGCGCAGTGTTGAGTAGAGTGAGATTTACGTAGGTGAAAAATTAATGTAGAAGCAAGCCGACAGGCAGATTCTGCCTGTGTGCGAGGTCACATGTTCCGATTTTAGTGCTCAGGAAGCCAACTGAATGCCTCGTCGGCATACAGGCTCAGACGCAGTCATGCCAAGCACCATACCACGAAAAGTGTGGAGCGCAGTGTGTGATTAGGAACCCTTAGTGAAGCCCGCTCCTTAACATGCTGACCAGAAGGTGAACATGTTCGTATTACAGACTCGGATTGCACGACCATGTCCCAGCCCTATCCCCGAGCTGCCAGGCTGCAATGCGGACAATGGCATTCAGTGTGGGGAGCCATGGTCAGGGAACGATGTTGATTATCGGGCGGCTGCGGAACAGCATTAGCACTGTTGTTTCGCATCGGCCGGTTTTTGTGTTTACTTCCTTGTTTGCTGCTGTGCTGATGTGAAATTCGAATCCTAACCACAATCTTTTTGTGTAACTCTTCATTTGTTCTGAAAGCCGACATATCATCTAGCCTTCTAAGATCCTGTCCACAGTGGTGCCCCCAAACGCCTGCGTGTACGTCATGCAGCAACCTGTGTCTCCCACGCCGGGCAACGCCACGGCGAATCTCGAAATTTCGCCGAAAGCTCAGAGCGTTGATGTGCAATTGCAGTGCCGATTTCTTGATGTAGGTTGCGTGGGAGCGGTGGTTTCGTAACTTAGCACCAGGACCATGTTTTGACGAACATGCTTATTATTTTTGTTTCTATTCCTGCTATTGTCATGTTCCAGCACGAGTTCTGCAGCCACGGTAGCCGAAGATTGGTTCTATCCTGAAAGATGCACGTGACCTTGGGCAACCTATGTTTCGGACGGGTGGGTCGCCGTGCGTGAGCATGAGCAAGAAATCCAATCAGACGTTGCCGGCGCGATGAGCATGCGTTGTATGAACGACATGATTCGTGTTGAGTTCGATCGATGATGTCGCTTTCTAAAGTTCTACAGGTCCGCCATGCTTTCGTCGTCGTCCTGGGACTGGACGTTTTTGGTTCAGGTCTGCATCGTTGACAACGACGACAACGGCGAGCCCCACAACCACCACCTTGACGACAACCTCAAGCACCACTGCATCGGCGACAACTACATTCAGTGCGACGACCACCACCACAACGACGACCGCAACGACAACCTCAAGCACCACTGCATCGGCGACAACTACATTCACTTCGACGACCACCACCACCACGACGACCGCAACGACAACCTCAAGCACCACAGCACCAGCGACAACTACATTCACTTCGACGACCACCACCACCACGACGACCACCACCACAACAGCTGCGTGTCTTTATAAAGGGCACTTTTTGCAAGCCGAAGCTGCATCAGAACCATTACCCACCAAGGCGCTGTGCCGACAGTACCCTGCTCCTCGGTCTGCAGTGTCACAAGTTGCTAGAGCTAGAACGTTGCAACTTGCACCCCGGAGTTCTCGACCTGGCTTGGCAAGCTGTGGCAGCTGGTGCTCTTTGGGTAAAGGTGGGTTGCCCGGGCTCGTTCCGGGAAGTCGCAGGCGAAGAAGATGTCTTGAAGTCGGATGCCTGAAAATCACTGACCCCTTCTCTTTGCCCGTGTCCCACGAATTGCATATGGGATCCTTTGGTAAAAAGGTAGTGTATTTCTGCCAAGTATGAGAATCCGAATTGCGGTTAACTAGACGGAACTTTTTGTGTGCAAGCTTCCAGGCTCTGACCCGCCGTGAAGCACCTAGCTCCAAGAAATCGCATCAGTTCATCGTGTTTTCCCGCCTCTCCTGCCAGGCCTCCTGTTTGGATCTCTTTCAGAATGGGAGCTTGGCTGATGGCGTGTACACCGTGAAAGTCAGAGATTTGGATGACAATGTCCAAGACACGGACCTATTCTGTGACATGACCAACGGAGGCTTGTTGGGAGTGTCGAAGAATAATGAACGGCATACCGAAAATGGGCTTGCCTCATGGATAGAGTCAAGCGTGACTTGCATAGACCGGCACTGGGCGCATTTACACCGTCCAGTAAGATGTTGCGACTCTTGAGAGCACAGGATCGGATAGCCAACAAGAACCCAGGGATAGTGTTCATGACGAAGTTGAATTATCAACAGAAGGTTGGACCCTGGTCGGCCAAATTGCTGTCCAGATCGCCATCAACAACGATTGGCTTCGTGCCTACCACAACGAATCCCAGCTTCAAGCTCGAACCATCACCAACAATACGTGCGGGCCTTTGCAGGTGCTGACTGGGTCCTTTGTCCTTTCCAGTTGTTTCTCATTTCTTGCATGGTGCTGGAAAAGAGGTGGGCCAGCATTCCTGCAATCGACATGGCCGTGAACTGCGCATCGGAGGTCCGGCTCAGCAGCTTCGAAGCAACGCACGGACTTGACTCCAACCCGACCTGCACAGAAAGCTCTTGCGAGCCTGCTCATCCCAAGGTAACGACGATGCCAGCAAATCCGTGAGGCCCAAATTTTCATGGCTATGTTCTGTCTTTTTGACGTTTTCGTAAAATTGCCCTTGTAGTCCTTTCCCTCAGGTGGGAGATGGACGCGGACCGCGAAATCTCGACTTGGTGGAACCAGTCTGCAGGCACAGCTCGTTTGTTGACCTTTGTGTGGCCATGTGTGTTGTGTAACCTGAGTAGCGCTTGCTGGTCCGCGCTCGTGCGTTGTTGGGATCTGCTTGCAGGGAGGGGCGTGATCAACGCCGCACCAGGCCACCAAGTGCTTGTCCATGACCAAAGTGGCGACAACGAGACCTGTTGGCAAAATCGCTACGGCATCATGAAGCAATCGCTTCACGGCGGATCGTACCCCGCTGCTACCATCAACGATCAAGGCACCACATTGACGGATGATCTCTGCTTGGCTGTTGGTGTGCTACCCTTGGGTTCCACATCCAACGGGTTTTCTCAAAATGGGAACGGATACGACGCTCCCACAGACAACACTGACTGGCCAAACGCTGAACTGAAAGGTATCCCCAGTCTTAATGTCTGGCTGAAGTAAGAAAGCCGAAGAAGGAGGGATGAGCCCTGAACATGTTGCCTCTCCCCCTTCTCTTGCTAAGCTTGGTTCTCCTGGCGCCACCACTTTTGAGTTTAAAGGCTTGCCTGAGTCCACTTGAACGGAGCGGTGAAAGCCCTCCTTCCGCAACGTTTCCACTGCCTTTGCCCTACTTGGGCCTCTTCCGTGGCAGTGGCCCACGGCTCCCTCGTGCAAAATGGCGCCAGCTTTATCAAAGGCGACTCCTGTGCGTGGCGGTTTTGGCCACGGGCTGAATGAGCTGGGCCAGGGCATGAGCAGTGGGCATGAGCAAGGCTTGCCATGTCTAGCAACAAATGGCAAGTGGTTATGCTGTACGAGTTGTTACACGCAGCATACGCAGTGTTGCCAAAATATTTCGAGCCAGTTGTTGCTGCCTGGCTGTTGGTGTGCAACCGGCTGATGGGAACGCATACGACGCTCCCATTGACAACACCGACTGGCCAAATGCTGCCCATCCCGAGTCTTAATATTTGGCTGAAGTAGTTTTAAGGCTTGCATTGTCTAGCCCAGCAACAACATGTTGCGTCGGGGATTGCTGGCACATGGAAAGTGGATAGATAAGCTGTACGACTTTCTACACGCAGCATATGCAGTGTTGCCAAATTATTGCTGCCTGGCTGTTGGTGTGCAACCGGCTGATGGGAACGCATACGACGCTCCCATTGACAACACCGACTGGCNNCCGAGTCTTAAATTTTGGCTGAAGTAATTCAAGGCTTGCATTGTCTAGCCCGGCATGCTTGGGCGCCTGTCACGCGGTGACGCAGCCCATGTTCCTTTTGTGTTCGTTTTGCTGAGGGAGCTGCGCGCGGTTGCCTGCACCCGTACGTACAGCTACTTCTTAACGCATGAGTTCCAGCAACAACATGTTGCGTCGGGGATTGCTGGCACATGGAAAGCGGATAAGCTGTACGACTTTCTACACGCAGCATATGCAGTGTTGCCAAATTATTGCTGCCTGGCTGTTGGTGTGCAACCGGCTGATGGGAACGCATACGACGCTCCCATTGACAACACCGACTGGCAGAATGTTGCCCTGCAAGGCATCCCGAGTCTTAAATTTTGGCTGAAGTAGTTTGAAGGCTTGCATTGTCTAGCCCAGCAACAACATGTTGCGTCGGGGATTGCTGGCACATGGAAAGTGGATAAGCTGTACGACTTTCTACACGCAGCATATGCAGTGTTGCCAAATTATTGCTGCCTGGCTGTTGGTGTGCAACCGGCTGATGGGAACGCATACGACGCTCCCATTGACAACACCGACTGGCCGAATGTTGCCCTGCAAGGCATCCCGACTCTTAAATTTTGGCTGAAGTAAGGCGCTGAGGGGTAGGAATCAGCTGGGCATGCGCGAGGCTTGCCCTGTCCAGGCTCGCGCGAAGACAAAAGCATCTTGCATTAGTTAGGTTCCCAACCCGACCAACGATATAGCAACCCCCGAGACATTTAAGAACTTTCCCTGCGTGCAATTTCCAGAGTCCGGGCCGATTTGGCATGAGTTAAGTGGGTCACCGTCATACATGCGCTGCTGCCCTATGCGCCGGGTGTCACGACCTTCATGCTCTAGCCAGACAAATGATACGAGTTAGCCGTGTGCTCCAGGTCAGAACAGAAGTCGCCAACTTCTGCCATATATCCGGTTTCAACCGAGTATAGGCCGCGATCACGAAATTCTGGTCTGGCGGCAGCAGTGGCAGCCTCGGCACTGAAGGGTTGGCCGACCCCCGCGAGATCTTGTGAAAGCCTTCGTCCGTTCGGCTGGTTTGACATTCATTCATTCTGGCTCAAGAGTATAGGCAATAAGAGTGCAGTTCCTGATTCATGCATGTTCATGGCATAAGACAGCAGCACCATGATTGAGATTAGCCAGGGGGTTCTGCCCTGGTGGGACTGCGCTTGCTCCATGGGAGGTTCGCGCTAGTGGCTTTGTATGGAGGTTTTGCGATTAGCACCACATGTCCCATGCCTAGGGCCCGCTCTTGCTGCATGGGTTGTTGCCGGACATGAGGTATCCAGGGGTCCAGTGGAGGATTGCAGCGAAGCGGAAGGTTGCGAATCGTTTCGGAGACTCCTCGGGTGGATGGTTGCACAGCTTCCAGGCAGGCAGAACTGGAATTCCTGGCACCGAAATCGTGCAGCTCGTAAGCCATAAGGGATCCCTCTTCGCTTCGGTTGGCTACTGGATGCATCCATCTCACCACCCAGGTCGGATTCTACGTTTAGATTGTCCAACTTGCGAGTGGGAGATGGAGCACCCAGAAGAAGGCAATGTGTATATGAGCTATGTGGTACGCCTCGAATGTTTGAGGTCAGCCAAATGGACGTCCACTCTTTCACACCCTGTGTCAACGCAAAGCGGCACCGACGAGTTGTTGCATGCCACCGGTTACTTGGATTGGCCGGGAGAAGCTCAATGCGTCTTTTGCACTCGCAACGATGCCACAAAGCTTTGAGCATGCAACCCGTTCTACAAAAGCACTCCCTTTACAGAGAATGGCTTCACTGGGCGGTCCATGATCCATTACAAGGACCCCATCACCGGGTTGGAGCAAGTCATCCTTCCGACAGGAAAGGATGGCGTGACTCGGGGCCATTACGATCCGAACAGCCCTGTACGTGTGTCGTTCGATTATCATATCGAGTCTGGCACAGAAAATCTTCCACAGCGGCCACTCGCAGTAGCTGAAATGGGTGGTCACGTGTACATGGCCGTTGGCCCACTCCTCATGAAGCGATCACGAGGAAAGACAGATGCAACGTGGACAACGGTTCTCGATATGTTGCAACATGACACCGGGGTCACACAGACGGATGAGGCCGTTGGCGGACTCCGCGGTCTCACTGCAATTGACAATCCCGCAAGTTCTACTGGTAAATCATTGCTGGTGGCATGGAACCCAAATGGACGCTCACAGGGTTGCATATACCGGTGAGATCCCAAGACCGACACCGATGGCTTCGACGTGGCACTCGAGAAATGTGTCAAACAAATTATGGGAGAGTTACGACCCAAATGGAAAATTTCCTTACGCTCTTGCAGCCTACAACGACATCCTGGCAGTGCCCGCAAGGAACGGCGGCGTGGTTCATCTCATTGGCTTCATGGTGCTTCTATGGGGTCCCACTGCCCATTCCCTTCCTGCAAATCCTGGCCAATGGACTACGGGCAACGGGGGAAGTTATTGGGCAGGTGGTGGTTACATGATTCGCCGGTCGATGTCAGATTATGAAGCTCGCGAAATCGGTGGAAGGAGATGCAGCCCAGACCAAGCAGATCCAGTGCTAACATCAGTTCGGGCATATGCTTTGTCCCCATTCCCCGAACAGAAGGGTGTTTATTTCGGTGGCTACGACTGCAATTTCTTTTCGTCGAGCAACACTGCTTGGATCTTCTGGGGCTCAGACTGTGCCACACATGACGATCCAGAAGTCGCAGCTCCTAGCTGCGCGCAGCCTTCCCAACAAGGATCCAGCTGCATCGCAATATCCGCAACCACAACTACAACTGCAACAGAACAGACGCCTGCAGAGGGAGGCAACACCACGACTACGACAACTGCAAGTACGGACAAGTCGACAAGTCCGCCGACGAGCACGTCTCAGGTGGGTGATACCTCGCATGCACCGGGAGGCGACACGACGGCCACGACAGGCACCCCTCAGGGTCAGGACGGTCAGGTCAGTAGCATCTCGCGGCGACAATGCCTCTACGTCCTTCCCTGCATTCTGCTGCATTGGAAGTGTTTGCTTACAGGATTGTAGCTGCGAAGTTGCACATCAGCCTCGCTTTCTGCATGGAAGCAATAAGTTGGGCAAGAGATGTCATTGTGACTCTGAGGGCTTTGCGCCAAGAGGGCGAAGGCACGGGGCTGTCCCTAAGAGTAGAACCGGTCTGGCATCCGGATTCTGATGCTTGCCGTGAAGAAATGTCACATGCATCGAAGCACAGGGCCAACACGGCATCGTGTCTCCAAGTGGAATCCTCCGCTTTTCTCACAGGGTACGCAGGATATACGATTGCGTGTGTCTGTGTGTGTAACATGTGTGTGTGTGTGTGACCGTGTGGGAAAGCGCAGACCTTGCGATTGCCACGAGCTTGTGGCTCAATCTTTTGTTGGGCACACTGAAGGCTATAAGTTCAACCTTACGTACAGTATTTTACCGTTCGGCGCTGTGAGGCAATGGTGGGTGGATGCATTAGCCTATCCTTTGCTCTCGTCATCGCGACTTCGACTCTGTTCATTTGCACACCGGCGGAAGATGCCTGTGATGCTCCCACTAACAGCCAGGCCCGTGCTTTGCTCCAAAGCTACTCTGCTCGCGAGCACATCGCAAGCTTAGTGCAGGGGTCGAACCAAAGCCAAAGCGATCCGTCAGAGGCCGGCGCATCCTCGATACTTTCCAACCACTCCAATGCTTCATGCATCATTGCGCTGGTAGATGCATGTTTGCAGAATCACATGGCCGGGGATGAACAGGAGCAAGCCTTATGCCATTATGTCGCAGAACATGGTCCCAGAAGAAGCTAGGATTGCAAAGGAACTTGCTGACTATGTGGAAGGTCTTTGCCAGTCGGACGTCTTGGATTTGGATTTCTTTGTGGGCCGGCTTGCTGATGAGTCACCGGAGTGCAATGCCCTGGTGGCTGACTCCCAACTCCTTCAAATCCAGACGCACCTCTCAGCGTTGGACTTCTATGCCAAGAGCGCCCTGGTGCGGCATGATGAGGAGAACCGCCTGGGCCATCACTTTGCCAAAAGGCTGCATAGGCACCAGAGGAAAGAAGCCGGGGCAGTGGAGCCCTTGCTGATGCAAGCAGCGTTGAAGCATGGCTCCAGCAAGCCGAGGATGGCACGTCTTTTCTATTTGGACCGGCTTTACTACGATAAGCTCCATGGCTTCACCAAGGACCAGTATTGCGATTCCAACTTTCGCTTGCAGAGGGCATATGTGAACTGCGT